CCCCCCCCCCCCCCCCCCACCACACTCCCGGCGGGGGGGGGGGCCCCCTTAAGCAGGAAGCAGCCCAAGTAGTTTTTTCGAGCACTACTCAACACGAGCAACCCGCATCTTTTATATACCAGATTTTAATCGTAAAGTACACCGCAGATTTTGCAAAAATTCAGAAAAAGTTTTTAAAAGGAAACTACACCCATATTTGAATCAACCTATGAAACTGCATCGAGCTACATATAACACAGTGCATGTCTGAAGGAAACAGATTTTGCTTAAAAACTGGTCTCCCATGAGTCTCTCTCATGGTTTTGTAACCGAAAAACAAAATTGTTCTAGACATGCTTTTTTTCACTTTTTGTTGTTTCAAACCTTAAGAAAGTAATGTTTCTAATCTAGAAAGACCACCTACCCACTTGTTGAACGAAAAAATGGGCATTGTGGAGAGGGCTCAAAAACTATTTCGTTCTAGATGGATGACTCCTTTCGCTGAGTATTAGTCCAATAAGTTGTTACGTTTGAAGAAATTTCTTTTTTGTTCTGTATTGCTTTTTCTATCGAAATATTAGTTAACCGATCGATACAGGCAAAAAGCCAAGGACGTGGAGTAAGATCGTACAATGATCGATCATAGCCATATGTTATATCAAATAATTTCAATCTTTTACGATCACCTGCCCATGGATAATATATAATTGATTCAAAATTAAATATCAGACCCCATATACTATCATTACTCCGAAAACTTTTATTTAGAACATTCACATATAATTTATCATCCAGTGGAGTAGCACCTTCAGCAATAATTGATGGATAAGAAGAATTTGATAGAAATAAATCCAAAGCAAAACTACGTTTACACACATATTCTGGCCGTTTATCGATCTTGTTTTGAAAAATTTTTCCACCTTTCATACACATGATGCTTTCGAGTGCGCTGGCATTCGAAGAATAAATCATGTCACATGGCAAACGAGAACAATCTCTTCTGTTATGTATACGACAAAATACATCAGATATTGGGCGTACTTCTAATGGTACTGTGCATAATTTACGATTACCATTACCCTTTATGATCTGTTGACGCCATTGAGCTAAATTAAAAATGTACTTTGTTTTATTCCATGATGATGATTTGGTTTGATTTAATTTAATATGGAGTGCAAAATAATAGTAAGATATTAAAAAGATGGTTAGACATGTAAAACATATTATCTTTTGGCATGATTTATCTGGATTATTACACACCATGTTATACGATACTAAAAAACATAAAAAGGAAATACTACAAAAAATACTTATTGAACTAAAAGTGAACATCGCGGTCTGCACATTCGGAATCACACTCTAGAGGAGAATAGTGTAAACAATAAATAGCATCATTTTCAGCCATGCCACAAAATGAAAAGAAAAAAATCATATAACATTATATGCATAGCTTTGTTTTGTATTTTGTGCTTGTTGGACAGGAGAAATAGGAATGAGCGTAGGGGGCACTGTTCCTTATTAGAATGGAAAAAGGCTGAATTAACTTTATATCATAGTGACCGACTGAAAAGTTAGTGAACTTTTAACATTTCTGAGTAGAGTAAAATCTTGCGGACAATAAAACTAAAGCAGCGGTTTGAATCATTTTACATTTCCTACGTTAAAAGTTTTTAAAAGTCATTGTCAAGGATATACAAATACAAAAGAATTTCTTTTAAACCGAATGGAGTCCTATGATTTTTTAATAAGTCGAAACGTAGTAAATTTAAAATGATTCAAACAGCTGCTTTAGTTTTATTGTTCTAAATAAAAACTCTACCAATTATCAATGAAAATGTTTATAAATATCTTGCAGATCAAATGTAAAATAATTTTTAATTTGATCCAAAATGATCTAGTTATTACTAGGAATACAGACGGAAGTTAAAACCTTCTAATTAGGGACTCATTTACTTATTAGAACGGCAAACGAAATTTTTGTCCTAAATACAACGCTCTCTTACAAAAATACACGTGAAAAACACATCACTTTAGAACAGCTTTATTTTCGCCACTTAAACTTCTATATTAAAAGCTTCTGTTAGCAGAAATGCTCTATTCGTTCAGCAATATCTACTTATAGCGGGCTAGAGCTACCTCTCATTTTGTTAACGACACAGTACTACTAGAAAATGATCTTTATTTGTTCTGGTTATGGACCTATATCGTTATCAATATTCCTGTCACAAGAGCCGTACATTTTTCTTCCACACTTTCGTGACATAGAAACAAAAAATTGACTATGTTATGACAGTTTTTGATGCGCTCTCAAAACGTTTCTTAAGATCTTCCCAAGATTTCACTGACATTTATCTAACGAGGGAACCTTTCGAGGTGATTAAAAACTTTTTGATCGACATCTAGTGGGTTATAGGTTATCGATCATGCTGATTCCAAATATGACCATGGGACTGGCCCATAGCTCTTCGAAGATCCAGCCTTATGGAAAACCAGTTTTTCAAAAATCCCAAAAAATAACCCTTTCTTAATAATACAGGATTGTAGCGCGCAAATTTCTGATTAAAATGATACATCCCCCAGCTCTACACGACCTTTCTTTCCAAAGTTCTAGAATTTATAAAAAGAGCCCTAAATTAATTCTTTCCTTCTTATATCTGCAGAAATAAGAAGAAGCTACAAGCTACAGAATTCTGTAGCTTTGAGCCGACAATCAACAATTTAAGGCTCTTCTTATAAATTCTATAACTTTGGAAAGAAAGGTCATGTAGAGCTGGGGAATGTATCATTTTAATCAGAAATTTGCGCGCTACAATCCTGTATTATTAAGAAAGGCTTGGGTTTATTTTTTGGGATTTTTGAAAAACTGGTTTTCCAAAAGGCTGGATCTTCGAAGAGCTATCGGCCAGTCCCATGGTCATATTTGGAATCAGCATGATCGATAACCTATAACCCACTAGATGTCAATCAAAAAGCTTTTAATCACCTCATAAGCTTCCCTCGTAATATCTTTAAAAGTCCTATTAAGATCGGGAGATGATATTAACATTTAATAAGATATTGCTTAGTTCTTAGTTTTATTTTCAATGGCCTTCAAAGAACGGGTAAAATATGCAATTTCTCTTCATTCTTTAGAACTGTTCAACTGCAGTTTTGAAAGTGATATGAAAAGTATTTAGACTACAAAGATCATTTCCTGTACAAAATTCAGTTGATAAGTCGCTGCAGTCTGTGTTTGTTTTAGTCAAAGTCTCTTTAAACTAGCTTCACAGCATGAATAAGTGATTTTCGAATAGTTTCTGCAGCTTCAGTCTAGAATTTACCTATGGGAAAGAAATCTACGTTCACTTGGACAAGATATCCAAAAACTTCTTCGTAAATCGAGAATCAAAAAACCGTGATAGTTCTTAGTAAGATTCGAGCGGATTCTCATCGAATCTCATAAAAATCTTGGATAAAGCAACGTAAGATCCTGATATGATCTTAGCAAAATCTTATTAAATGTTAAAATCTTCTCACGACCTTTAAAAGACCTTTTAAGATCTTAGATGGATGTAAGTGGAACCCTAGGAAGATCTGAAGAGACGTTCTGAGAGAATTTTTCATATGTAGTTTTAAGCTCTAAGAACAGAAACATACTACTCTTCGCGCTCTTCCAAATTAGACGTTGCTAAAAAGAATTATTTTGAAATTCGGCTCACAGTAGCTGAAGTACTAGAAGTATCGCTTTTTTCAAAAACTTCAAAAAACATCTGCGGGGCTTTTCACAAAAAGTCTTTTTCTCATCAAGTTTAAGGTGTTAAGACGAGAAAAGAAATATCATACTTGATTTTCTACGGAGAATCGAATGAAAGCGGCTCAAACAAAAAAGAGTAGTAGTTACTGCACCTCAAGTGTAGACCTGTTTTCGGGTAGTGGAAGAATAGTTATAAAAATACAACTAGAAATTAATGGTCACCAATTTCAAAGTCGTTGCACAATGGGCATTTTTTGCTAGAGCAGGCGGACTTTAGCTTTGTGAGTGAACTAAAATTTCATGAACCATTTTTTTATAGGTTTTTCATGATCCTCTTTCTAATGGCATGAGAGTTGAGCTTTGAAAAAGTTTTCTAAGGAGTTTTCCAGAGATCCGATCTCTAAAAAACCCTTCAGAAAGCTTTCTCAATATTTAAAAACGATGCCACTGGAAAGAGCATTGTCGAAAACCTATAAGAAACATGTTTCGAGTCGTTCAGGTTACTTTATCTTGAAATTC